GAGGTTGCTGTGAGCTGTAATGCCACGGCACTCTGCCCAGGGGGACAGCTTGAGGCTCTGTCTCAAAAAAAAAAAAAAAAGCCAATGTCTTTTTTTCTAAATGGAAGCTTAGAAAATGTGATGAAAAGGGTATCAAAGAACAAACAAAAAAAATCACCTGTCTGAATTTGTTTCGTAATGTTGAAAAGTTAACAGTATGAAGATTAGAAATTTGGGGAAACTCTCGATCTAAACATGTAAGACATTTTTGTAAACATTTTATAGTATAATCCTAGAAAAATTTAATTGTAATTTTTGCTCTCCTATTATAGTTTTTTTTTTTTTTTTTTTTAAGAGACAGAGTCTCACTCTGTCACCCTCAGTAGAGTGCAATGGCGTCACAGCCCACAGCAATTTCCAGCTCTTGGGCTTAGGCGATTCTCTTGCCTCCGCCTCCCGAGTAGCTGGGACTACAGGTGCCCGCCACAATGCCCGGCTATTTTTTTTGTTGCAGTTTGGCTGGGGTTGGGTTCGAACCTGCCAAGCTTGGTATATTGGGCCAGTGCCCTACTCACTGAGCCACAGGTGCCACCCTCCTATTGTAATTGTTGTGAATTTTCTTTTTCCTTTCTTTTTTTAAAAATTTTTTTGACTGAGTCTCACTTTGACACCCTGACTAGAGTGCTGTGGCATTATAGCTCATAGCAACCTCAAGTTCTTGGGCTCAAGTGTTCCTCTTGCCTCAGTTTTTCTATTTTTAGTAGAAATGGGGTCTTGCTATTGCTCAGGCTGATCTCAAACTCCTGAGCTCAAGCAATCCACCTGCCTTAGCCTCCCAAAGTGCTAGGACTTTAGCTGCACTGTGTAGGCCTATAGTCCCAACTATTTGAGAGGCTGAGGCAAGAGAATTATATAAACCCAGGAGTCTGAGGTTGCTGTGAGCTGTGACATCACAGCACTCTATAGGGGACTCTGTCTCAAAAAAAAAAAAAAAATCAAAACCCTACTCAGGAAGCTGAAGTAGGAAGATGGCTTGAGCCCAGGAGTTTGAAAATAGCCTGGAAAAGACCCCCATCCCCTCCCCCCCCCAAATTGACCTGGCACAGTGGTTCACACCTGTAATCCTGACGCTCTAGGAGTCTGAAGTGGGTGGAGTCCCTGAGCTCAGGAGTTCGAGACCAGCCTGAGCAAGGGCAAGAGCCCATCTCTACTAAAAATAGATGAACTAGTCAGCAGGTGGTGCAGGCCTATAGCTCCAGCTACTCAAGAGGCTGAGGTAGGAGGATTGCTTGAGCCCACAAGTTTGAGGTTGCTAGGAGCTATGATGCCGTGGCATTCTAGCTAGGGAGAACAGAATGAGACTCTGTGTCAAAAAAAGAAAGAAAGAAAGAAAGAAAAGAAAGAAAGGAAGAAAACCACTGTAGCTTTGTTTTTTATAAATAGGGTTCTGAAGATGGCTTGAAAGAAAAAAATGACATAATTGCCCGACTAGAAGAAAAAACCAATAACATTACTACAGCCATGAGGCAGCTGGAACAAAGGTACAGCATTTCCAGTCTTAGTTTCTTTTCTCTTTTCTTTCCCCCCCTTTTAAGTTCAACTCTGACACCTGCCACAAAAAATCCATTAGGAAGATAAAGCTAAGAATATGTTTTTTGTTTAAGCTCAGCAGGATTTTGTCTTTTTGTTTGGTTGTTGCATGGAATCAAGTTGCTTTATATTGGGCTGATTCATGTGAAGCTGCCAATTTGTAGATTTTGTTTTAAAGGCCTAATATCAGCAATTTCATGTGGTTCAATGTATCACATAAAACAAATACACAAATAAAAACCTCAAAAAATTTAAAAACCAACAAAGTTCATGGTGGGATTATCCATGATGATTTCCATGCATATTAGTTGTCATATTCTTTGTCATTCTCCATCTCTTTATCTAAAATCAAACATTCTGAATTAGTGGTTTATTTTTGTTTCTTTGAGCTAGGACCCTCTACCCAACCAAAAGTATACTTTTGTTTAGATTGAATTGTTTATATTGGCATTTTTCACTTTTATTGTTGGAAAATGTAATGTATTTCCATTGCCTTGTCATGTTGGTCTCAACATATGTCTTATCATTGCTTTCTTTGAATCTATTTATGAAAAACATAACTATTAATGCTTTATTGACATGAATATTCTTTTATTGACATCCTCTTTCTTCTTTTTTCTTTTTTGTTTTCTTTATCCCCATTTCTACATTTGGACATCTTTATTACCTTTTTCTGTCTTTAATTTCTGTCCATTCCATTATGAAGTGACAACGATTTGTTAACTCAAACTAGGACAATTGCAATGTCATTGGTGAAATGTGCCAGCAGTGACACTCAGGACCAGTACAAACTGGTCAAAGATATATCTTTCTGAAAACAACTTGTATTTAAACAGACGAAAAGAGAATCAACAATTTTATAATATATTAAATAGAAAAGAATATATGCTATTAAGTATTTTAAAAGGGTATTAGGAGCCCTATACATTTTTGGTCAGCTACTATGGTAATACACTGCCATAAAACAGAGTGGGTGCACTTGGATTTACAAAATTATATTCCTTAAACCTTGTGCACAAAGGCTGATTGGAGTATTGACCCTTTCGAGGTCAGGATTTTCAAATGTAATTTTCTCTTTTTAGGTATTTTTTGATGGAAAATATAAAAATTGTTTTAAGTTAACCTTTTGTTTCACAATGTGTTGGCACAGATATGTTTTTCCACATTGGCCTATTCTTGCCTAGTGGCTCCCTTACTGTTTTGTAGTGTGTTTTAAAATAGCTTATAACCCAGATTGGACATGATCCTGTGCTTTAACATCTCAATTTTCCAGTTCTCCCTGGCACTCTTCTATGATAGCACAACTTCGCGGCCTACCTCACTCTCTTATTTTACTTTCTATAACACTAGAGAAAAGCTTGTGTCTACCCCTGCTCCCTTAATCTTTTATTTGAGATTTTGAGATAACTTAAATGTTACTCTCCTTTCCTTGGAAACAGCATTTATACTCCCGAAATGCATAAGCGATGCCTCATTGATATGGTTTTAAGGAAGAAGGGAAGAGGCAGGTTTTTTTGGTTAGTTGAATAGAAATTTCTCTTGTGATTCCCTACAAGGAGTTAATGTCCCTTGAATTTTGGGAGCTATTTTCTTATAAAAATATTGAAGTTAAATCTAAGAAATCTTAGATGGCCAAAGGAAGGCAGGGAGTGGAGCTAAGCACAGGGTTAAGCAATGATTTACAAGTAAAAGTAGCAAAAATGAAAATCACATTTGAGCCAATTTTTAATATTCAATGTTGAGGAACAAAAATGATCATTAGAGAGTGATGCCAACTAGCACTAAGTTCTTTTTGAATTTATAAACATATACATATGCATACACATACACACATACACACAGAGAGCTTTGGCATAATTCAGTGAAGACCCCATAGGAAGAACTTGACCATCATTTGAAGTAATTGCAGGTCTTTGCTCTTGGCCTTGTAGCACACTTGATTCCTGGCATACACATCATAGCATAACATATAACAGTGGCTTCTTCACCTAGTGTAGACATAAGTACTATGCTTCTCATGGTTTTGTAAAAAGGCAGTAATATACCTATTATACTTTGATTCATTATGCTCTACATAAGTGGTAAAGGCTGTATTGCTTTGCATTGTTAATTAAGAACAAGAAATAAAACAAATTCTAAGATAGTATTCTGGGCATATTATATGTTGTATTGAAAAAAACCCCACAAAACAATTTCTAGACATTGTGTGGCTCTTTCACGTTTGAGTTTGTGAGTTTTCTCCCAAACTTTGTTTTCATTTAGAAATGTTTCTATTTCCCCATTTTTCTTTTATTTGTCTTCTTCACCCTTTTACACCCTAGTTCTAGCCTCAGTTTTACCCAAAGTTGATTTGAATTACACCAGATTGCAGCAAGCAGAGAAGGCGCAAATGGAAGCTGAAGATGAGGACGAAAAATATCTGCAGGAATGTCTGAATAAATCTGACAGTCTCCAGAAACAAATCGCTCAAAAGGAGAAACAGCTGTGAGTATTTTACTTTTGGAAACCAGTACTTGTATTAGTGTAATTCCCCCTTCCATTTTTCTGTGTCTTATGGTAGAATACTGATATTTTTATTTATCTAATGATGCCAGCTAGATTATAGTGTTCCCTTCAAAAAACAAATTAGAAAATATAATTATGATAATACTTCTGTTTTTGCTCACTCTATTATTTTCACCTCTGTCTTGCTATTTTCTTGCTCTGGGAGAGTTTTATTTCTTTTGTTCTTTAATTTTAATCTGATGGTTATTATATTTCTGGGTACTGAGTATAATAGGCTTTGTAACTCCAAGGAGCTTACATTACCAGACAACATGCTATTTTCTGAGAATATTTTTATTGATATTAATTCTTTATATGATCTATATATGACCATTGGGAAGGCTGTTAGTGTGTGTCGTTGTGTGGGAAAAAAGCAAATTGCAGACAGTATGCCAAATATCTTGGGGGTTTTTGTAAAATTGAACAAAATATGGTGTGTATGTACCGTGTTTCCCTGAAAATAAGATCTACCCAAAAAGTAAGACCTCGCAGGATTTCTATGCATTTGTTAAATATAAGCCCTACCCCAATAATAAGACCTAGTGCTGGGAGGCATTTCGGTGCCGGGAGAGATATCCTCTGAAAATAAGCCCTAGTATGTCTTCTTGAGAAAAAATAAATATAAGACAGTGTCTTATTTTCGGGGAAACAAGGTATGTGGGTGTGTGTATATATATGTTTGTGTGTATATATATTTACATATATATAGAAAAGCTTTCAAAGAATATACATTCTTGGGAGTGGTCATCTTAGGGCAGTGATAGCAAGTTGACAGGAGCATTTTGGTTTTTATTTTATAAACATCAGTATTTTTTTTCCCACTTGTTACTTCTGTTATTAAAAAAAATAGAGAATTTTGTACTATGTTAACCGATCATTAAAGAAGACTAAATTCCATGTATGATGTATAAGTTACTAAGCTGCCTTTGGATCTGTTGGTTGAAGTATTAAGTTCTTTTGTATTTTTTTTTTTTTGAGACACTGTCTCACTTTGTAGCCCTCAGTAGAGTCCATGGCACCACGGCTCATAGCAACCTCAAACTCTTGGCCTTAAGTGATCCTCTTGCCTTAGCCTCCCAAGTAACTGGGATAACAGATGCATTCTGCCCACACTCAGCCAATTTTTGAAAATTTTTTTTTTTTTTAGAGACAGTCTTATTTTGTCACCCTCAGTAGAATGCCGTGGCATCACAGCTCATAGCAACCTCCAGCTCTTAGGCTTGGGCAATTCTCTTGCCTCAGCCTCCCTAGTAGCTAGGACTACAGGTGCCTGCCACAACGCCTGGCTATTTTTGTTGTTGTTGTTGCAGTTTGGCCAGGGCCGGGTTCGAACTTGCCACCCTTGGTATATGGAACTGGCTCCCTACTCACTGAGCCCCAGGCGTTGCCATAATTTTTGAAATTTTTGGTAGAGTCAGGGTCTCACTGTGTTGCTCAGGCTGATTTTGAATTCCTGGTCTCAAGTGATCTTCCCACTTGAGCCTCCCAACGTGCTAGGATTATAGACATGAGCCATTGGATCTGGCATCAACATGAGTTTTTAAAGGGACAAATATTCAAACCAAACAGACATGTATTATTATAGCTGGGCAGTGCTGAAAGTGCAGGCTCCCTGCGTGGCATTCTCTTATCCTACCACCGCAGGTCACTGGGGGGTGGGGGATACCTCATTATTGTCAAGCACTTCACTCAGCTTTTGCTGACAAAGGTTTGGAGATGGGTGCATGGGTTTTTTGGGGGGTTTTGCTAGAATAGGCATTTATCGTCAGAAAATACTCTGTTTTGCTAGGCTGTCTCTTTCCTAGCCCTTTTGGCAAGACAGCAGGTTCTTCATGGGGCTTTTTGGTCTTTGCCCACAAACGTTTGTAGGTTGAGGGCTTCTTCAGTACCCATTCTGAGTAATATGCATATAGGAGACAAGAAGAAGCCTCAGGTAACTGCCACCATATTTTTCCTGGCTTTCCTGGGTTCATAGCTGATCCTCTTTCTTCTGTGTGCCCTTCAGAATCATCATTTTTTTTTTTTTTTGACATAATGTCCAGGGTTTTTAACTATACTTAGTTGGAGGATGGTAAAGGGTTACTCCAACTTGTACAGAACCAGAATTCTAAGCTTCTTTTAAATTTACCACAAAAATACTTTGAGGAACTGGTAGATGGAATTCCCTGGCTTTAACCTGGGGAATATTACTGTGGTTGAAAACTTGCATCATTTACACATGTGAAAATTGTGAAACTCCAACCTGGCCCACCCAAACCAAAACCATTTAGCAAACAAAAGTTTTGTCTTAATTTTAGCACTTTCCTAAAAGGACAGGAGACACATTCAGGGCTTTCTTTGGCAATAAAAGAATAAAAGAAGCATTGAAGTTGGGCAGCGCCTGTGGCTCAGAGGAGTGGGGCGCCGGCCCCATGTGCCGGAGGTGGCAGGTTCAAACCCAGCCAGGCCAAAAACTGCAAAAAAAGGAAAGAGAACCATTTAAGTCATCCTGCTTATCAGTACTGCCTTGAGCTTTGTTGTGTAAATCTCTGTGCTCCACCAAATGAAACACAGGAAAAGCAAGCCAGGACACCTTGCCAGTCAGTAGAAGACAGTCTGATACTCGGTTAGTGAATCACCTTTCTAGTGGTTGACAGAAGGGTTAAACAAATGTGACTTTCTATAGTGCTGCCAATATTTGATCCCTGCCCCAAAAAATGTCACAGGGACCTGCCCTTCCCTGTTGTAGGGCTAAACTACTCAGTGAGTCTTGGGTATACCTCCTAAGAGATGTTTGTCCCCAGTAAAACTATAAAAGTAATTTTGTCTCTCATTTGATGCCATTTTAGTAGAGCATGAACATGTTAGCAATTTGTTGATCTGGGGAATTCTATATGGTCCAGAAAAATTGGAATTATAGGTATAGAAATGGGCATTTGGGACTTTGTAAAAGAAAAACAAATTTCATGTTTTCCCCTAAAGTGGAAGTAATTTTAACAGCTTCTGATTATGAAAAGATTATGTGTTTTCTTGGCTAAAAATTAAGAAAATATGTGAAGAATGTGAAGAAAATAAAAATTAGAGAATCATTTTGAAACAATTTGAAGAATTCTTGTAGTTTTTTGGTTAGGCATCAATATTTTTTGTGTTCTCAGAAATAGGATCATGCTGCATACCCTTTGGTGTCTTGTTTATTTTATTTACTACATCACAGACATTGTATTATATGCATTAATATAGGTCTGTGCCATCACATCAAAGTTAACCTAAAGGAATTTTCTTTTTTTTTTTTAAGAGACAGAGTCTCACTTTGTTGCCCTTGGTAGAGTGCTGTGGCATCACAGCTCATAGCAACCTCCAGCTCTTGGGCTTAGGAGATTCTCTTGCCTTAGCCTACTGAGTAGCTGGGACTACAGGCGCCTGCTGCAATGCCCAGCTATTTTTTTGTTGCAGTTTGGTCGGGGCCGGGTTTGAACCTGCCACCCTTGGTATGTGGGGCCAGCACCCTACTCACTGAGCCATAGGTGCCGCCCTGTTTATTTAAAAATTTTGTTCATAATGGGTGTTTTTATTTGTGCATTTTAATTTTTTTATGTAATTGTATCTTCTTTTTTCCTTTATGGTTTCTGCCTTGGTTATTCAATATATATTTCGATACTATGTTTATATAACTTAAACCCAAATTTTTTTCATTGTTTTTTTTTCACTCAGTTTTTTCTGATTCTAGGTGATGAAGCCACTAAATGGAGTACTCTGTGTTCTAGTTACATTAGTGTTTGTAACATATATAGTTCTTTTTTTTTTTTTTTTTTTTTGAGATAAGAGTCTCATTTTGTTGCCCTTGGTAGAGTGCTATATTGTCACAGCTCACAGTAACCTCCAACACTTGGACTTAAGCAATTCTCTTGCCTGAGCCTCCCACGTAGCTGTCACAATGTCTGGCTATTTTCTTGCTGCTGTTGTCATTGTCGTTTGGCAGTCCCAGACCAGGTTCGAACCCTCTAGCCCTAGTGCATGTGGCCGGTGCCCTAGCTGCTGAGCTATAGGTGTTGAACCTACAGTTCTTACTTAACATTGTTGATACATGGGTTACTACAAAAGTTTTGAGACAGACTGTGTTATAGTCCATTATTTCATTTTCAAGAACACAGCAGTGTCCTTTCTGATTCACCTGTGGAGGCTTCAGCTGTCTCGGCTTATTGGTGTTGCTGGGGCTTCATTTGTCTCCATCTACGCAGATGTTCTATTTTTTTATTTTTGTGCATCTCAAAACTTTCATAATGACCCCTAGCGTAGATTCTTAGAAACTTTGATTGGCTTGGTGCCTGTGGCTCAAGTGGATAAGGCGCCAGCCACGTACACCTAAGGTGGTGGGTTCGAATCCAACCTGGGCCCGCCAAACAATGATGGCTGCAACCAAAAAATAGCTGGGTGTTGTGGCGGGCGCCTGTGGTCCCATCTACTTGGGAGGCTGAGGCAGGAGACTCGCTTGAGCGAGGTTGCTGTGAACTGTGATGCCATGGCACTCTACCCAGGGGGACAGCTTGAGGCTCTGTCTCAAAAAAAAAAAGAAACTATGATTAAGCAAAACAACCAGTTTTACCATAGGCTCTTGATACAAAC